CATGATTCTCAGATGGCAGCTACCTAAGTACCTACGATTATAGGTGTGAGCCACTGACACTTAGCATGTCCCTTAATTGTGATGGTGGGAATTCATTTCATGGTTATATGAAGTAAGTGTTACATATATGTATTTTTCATAATTTATTTTCTATGATTAGGGCAGAGCTCAGCCACTGAGATGAGGTCTGTGAGAGCACCATGGGTACCTGGAAGTGGCTCTGTGGGCTTTTGAGACACACTTTACCATATGCTTTGGTTCAGAGACCGGTTGTGCTTGCCTCTGGGTGTTTGCCTTATGGTCCTTCGAGTCTGTTCTTCAAGCAACTGGGGGAGCAGCCATCAAGAGCCATTTTTCTCAGTTACAGTTTAGGCTGGGTGTGACTATCCACTTTAGGTTTCTGATTGTGCAATTAAAATTTCTTTTTTTTTTTTTTTTTTGCCGGTCATGAGGCCTGCACTCTGGGACTGGGCACTATCTCAGCTCTTCAGCTCAAGGCTAGCGCTCTACCACTGGAGCCACAGCGCCACTTCTGGCTTTTTATGTTTATGTGGTGCTGAGGAATCGAACCCAGGGCCTCATGCTTGCAAGGCATGCACTCTACCGCTGAGCTACCTTCCCAGCCCGCAATTAAAATTTCTTTACCACAGATATGAATTATTGATCATAATCTTTTTTTTTTTGACACCCAAATCTCTTTTATTGGGGGTAGGGGGAATGAGCCTCTGGGGCATGCCTGGGGCCCTCACTGCACAGCTTGTTCATTGGCGCTGCCTCCGGAATCCTGAGGCTTCGTCACATCTGGAAGCTCTGGTGGGCTGGAGAAGGGCTCGATGCGCAGGGCCTCAAACGCTTCATCTGCCCGGAAGGCTAGGCCCACTGTGGCTGGGGCCTGTGGCCGTGCTGTCTGGCTGGTGAAGCCACACTCGCCCAGCGTTTTCCCCATCATCTAGAAGCTGGTCGTCCTTGTAGAGCCGCTGCTCGTCCGGTGGCCGCTTGAGGATGTCCTCGACGATGCGCTTCAGCTCGAACACGGTGCTCGACTCCTTGGCGTCCGTGCAGATGGTGGTCTTGTGGCGCCGGATCATGAGGCACACATCCATCCCGGCGGCTGCTTCTGGCTCGACGCCTGATCATAATCTTTTCAGTCATTTTCTAAATTGGTGGTGTGCCTGTTTGTTGTTGTTTTTTTTTTTTTTTGTCAGTTGTGGGACTTGAACTCTGGGCCTGTGCACTGTCCCTCAGCTCTTCAGCTCAAGGCAAGCACTCTACCGCTTGTGCCACAGCACCACTTTCAGCTTTTTCTGTTTATCTGATGCTGAGGAAATAAACCCAGGGCCTCATGCATTCGAGGCAAGCACTCTACCATTGATTCACCTTCCTAGCCCATGGTTGTTGTTTTTCAGATAGGGTCTCATACTTTTTTCCTGGGCTTACCTTGAACAGCAATTCTTGTACATATGCTTCTCCAGAAGCTGGGATTATAAGCATGAGCTATCATACGTGTGTGTGTGTGTGTGTGTGTGTGTGTGTGTGTGTGGAGTGTGTTGGTATTGGGGCTTGAACTCAGAGCCTTGAACTTCAATGTGTGTGTGTGTGTGTGTGTGTGGAGTGTGTGTGTGGAGTGTGTTGGTAGTGGGGCTTGAACTCAGAGCTTTGAACTTGAACCTGCTGGTGCTCTATCAGTTGAGCTATACCCCCAACCCATCTTGTGCTTTTTAACTGAAGATAAGTCTCACAGACTTTTCTGTGCTGGCTAGCTTTGAACATTGACCCTCCAGGTCTCTCAGCTTCCTCAGTAGCTAGAATTACACAAGTGCCAGGCTCTGGCTGGCTCTTTTTGCCTGGGCTGGTCTCCAGTTGTCTCCTTTTTCTTTACCTCCCAAGTATAGACTTTTTCTTTTTTTTTTTAAATTAGAGCCTGAAGCAAGACTGGGAATCTGAAAGACAGTTATGCTTAGAAAATCTACGCAAAGAGTTATCAGCAAAGCACCGGTCAGAAATGGAGGATTTGCAAAATCAATTTCAGAAAGAATTGGCGGAACAGAGAGCTGAGATGGAAAAGATTTTTCAAGCCAAAAATCAAGCTGAAGGTGAGCATTGGGTTGCAGCAAGCAGATCTGGAGAAAACACAGAGTTGTGCTGCACTTCAGATTGTCTCTCTGGTGTGGGTTACTGAGAGAGGGAGAACAGAGTAGGACAGGGCTCCTCATGAGGTCCCCCAATCTTTCTGACCTTTGTTTCAAAGATAGCTTTTGCACAGTAGTATTGTGCCTGTTCTGTTTGGATGCCTTGGGACCCTGTGCTCCATAGTGAGTCCTGTTGGTCAGGGGCTATGTATATGTGTGTTTTCTCTTTCTCTCCAGGAGAGCAGAGTGGTGACTGAGATGGCATTTGGATAGAGCCTGCTAACTGTGACTCAGTTGTGCCCCTATTTTGGCACCCTGTCCTAGCATGTCCAGGCATGAGGATACCCAAGGGAGTCTGTGGCAGGGACAGTATGCTCTGTGTTGAGCTGACTGGTCCTCCGCCAAGGAAGAGTGTGTGTCTTGTTAACTAGGTGGTATCTGTGGTGCTTTCTAGTTTCTCTGAAGAACCTAGAGGCTCAGCATCAAGCAGCCATCAAGAAGTTACAGGAAACCTTGCAGCTGGAACACTGCCAGTATTTGCAAGACTTGGAGGTGAAATTCAGAGAAAAGGAAAAAGAAAAACAGTTGGAGGTAGGTGTGAACTTACTGATTTTTAATTATTTAGTTTATTAAGGAAGTTTTTAAACATTTTAGAACTGAGCCATTTTGTATTCTTTAACTGCTGAAATTGAAGTACTATTTTCTATTTTTGTGCCAGTCCTGGGTCTTGAACTCAGGATCTGGGTGCCATACCCTTAGCTTTTTTTGCTCAAGTCTATGATCTACCTAACCTGAGTCACAGTTCTGCTTCCAGCTTGGTGGTTAAGTGGAATTACAAGTCTCAGGCAGTAGACTTTTCCTTCCCGTGCTGGCTTCTAATTGCAGTTCTCTGATCTCAGCTTCCTGAGTAGGATTATAAGCATGAGCTATAGTGCCTGGCTGAAATACTAAATTTGACAAGACTCTAGTACAGAGCCATATAAGGATATATAATGTGAGGTTCATATACTAATATATTAGGTCTTAAACTAAGAATGCTTATTCTTGGGACTGAGATGTGGCTCAAGTGATAAAGCAATTACCTAGCAAGTACAAGGTGCCCTAACTTCAAACCATAATGCTATCAGGAAAAAAAAGCCTTTTTTTTTCTTTTTTCCCCTGTGCTGGTACTGGAGTTTGCAATTGGGCCTTGCACTCTTACCTGGCTTTTTTTTTTTTTTTTTGGGTCCAGTTGTAGGGCCTGAACTCTGGGCCTGGGCGCTGTCCCTCAGCTCAAGGCTAGCACTCTACCACTTGAGCCACAGCGCCACTTCTGGCTTTTTTCTTTTTGCTTATGTGGTGCTGAGGAATCAAACCCAAGGCCTCATGCATGCAAGGCAAGTGCTGTACCACTGAGCCACCTTCCCAGCCCCATTACCTGGCTTTTTTTTGCTGAAGGCTGGTATTCTAGCACTTGAGTATACTTCCACCTTTGACTTTTTGCTGTTTATTTGGGGATAACAATCTCATGAATTTGTCTGCCTGATTATGGCCTTGAACCACAATCTTAAGATCTCAACCTCCAGAATAATTAGGATTACAGGCATGACCCACCAGTGCCTGACAAAAGAGATTTTTTTTTTTTTTTGCCAGTCCTGGGGCTTGAACTCAGAGCCTGGGTGCTGTCCCTGAAAGAAGCTCTCTACCACTTGACCCACAGTGCTTCTCTTGGCTTTTTCTGTGTATGTGTTACTGAGGAGCTGAACCCAGGGCTTCATGCATGCTAGGCAACCACTCTACCACTGAGCCTCCTTCCCAACCCCCCCCATATCTATTTTTTTTTGTCCATCGTGGGGCTTGAACTCTGGGTCTAGACCCTGTCCCTGAGTTCTGCAGCTCAAGGCTAGCACTCTACCACTTGAACCACAGCACCACTTTCAGTTTTCTGGTGGTTAATTGGAGATAAGAGTCTCACAGACTTCCTGCCCAGGCTGGCTTTGACCCATGATCCTCAGCTCTCAGCTCCTGAGTAACCAGGATTATAGACATGAGCCACTGGTGCCTGGCTCTGATATGTATTCTTTATAAGCACTCCCAAGACATTTACAAAAATTCCAAATACTAGGAGTGTAAGAGCACTTTCTGTGATCACAATTTAATGAATAAGAATTCCAAAAATAAAAAATAAGATAAAAATATTTATGCTGCTTGTGCATTCAAGATTGTTTTCTAGTAAAGTACTACACTTACCAAACAAGTTCTATTCAGGTCTCAAGTGCTTTTATTACTAAACCAAGAATCAAACTATCAACTTAAGAAATTTGAAAGAAGGGGCTGGGAAGGTGGCTTAGTGGTAGAGCGCTTGCCTTGCATGCATGAGGCCCTGGGTTCGATTCCTCAGCACCACATAAGCAAAAAGAAAAAAGCCGGAAGTGGTG